AATGACATAGCAGCTTTATACACATCAGCATCCTGTAAGGTTAGATGTTCTTCGCCTGCTGCAATGTCAGGGAGGTCAATGTTGGTACTGGGAGCCCTGGGTGGATGTTTGTCCTTCAGAGCTTGTGCCGTGCTGACGTCCCTTGGGAGCGATGGTATCCTCATGGTTATAAGTCCTCAAAGCTCCAATAGTATTACCCCCTTCTATTTTTTTGCTAATTTGGGCTCTGATTTTTGAGGTGTCGGGTGTCCTGTTGTTGGCATTTGCCCGGCGGGTGTTTGTCGCCCTAGGGGGGAGACGGACGAGGTTGTCATCCCTTGGGAATGCATTTATTGCCCTAATAACATGCGTTGCTAGTGACTTGTCCCTCCTTGGTGGGACAGCCAAACAGGCATTGCCAAAAAGCAGCAAGTTGTGCCAGGATCTGTTGTTTGAAGGAGCATCGTTGACTTTCTTCAGAAGGTCAGTGAATTTGCTAGCAGCTTGAGGGCGAGCTGCTTTGGGGATGTGTGTCAGAGTCCTGGTGGATGTTAATTTGATTGCAGATTTGAGGTCCTCTGTAGAGGTGAAGTCACGGTAGCTGTCAGCCCTGTCTGCTGGGGGAGGCTGTTGGTTGCTCTCATTTGGAGCTCTCCTGGAGCCTAGACATCTATTGTGTGCACGGATGTTGCCAGATGTGGGATTGAGTGCACATTCCCTGTGGCACACCTGGCAGATGCCTCGTGAACGACAGCTTTGGCTCTGTCGTGAAGATTCCTGGGAACCCGCGACTACTTGTGACATTGCTGATATCGTGGGGGTGGGAGGGCGCCCGCTGTGGGGTGACGGGTGAAGGGCAGCATGTGATGCATGGGGATGAGGGGTGGGGGAGTAGCGAGGCGGCGGAACTTGAAATTGGTGGGGCACTAAACGGCAACACCCTTGGTCAGGAAGTCAGTGGGCCCAGGCTGGGATGAGGGGAGGGGATCTGGGATGGGGGAGGGGGGAGGGAGTGGCCCTGTGTGTTCGCTCAAGACGCACATCACTGACTAACTTTTGCTAATTGTTATACAACTTATTGTTCCATTTAGAAAAAACCCCTCGCCATTTGGCACACTAATCACATGCTCACACTATTAACCCAGGTGTTCTGTTCACCATCCAATGACCGTGTCGTGGGCGGCCACTTCCTTCCCAACCCACGACCCGGCCGATCACAGATGTAAACAAAACCTCCTCCACACCTCCACTGCCAGGATCCCCTCACCACCGCTACTTCCCAAATCCCAAATGCACACTGCACTTTCACTGATATAGAAGCAATGGTCCGATGTAGAGGTTTGTCAAAAACTCTATGATCTCCGGTCGATACTCACGATGATGTCTGCCGAAATGGCCCGCGTAAACCATGTTGGTTCTGGTTTACACACACAATGTATGGAGCACACACACTGGCTCCCTCCCTCCACGCCGGCAAGCGTGTATATATATTATATATATATATATATATTATTATATATATATATATATATATATATATATATATAATATATATATATATATATATATTATTATATATATAATAATTTTATTTATATATATATTATATATATTTTATATATATATATATATTATATATATATATATATATATTATATTATATATGCAATAAGATACAGTAAACAGGTGATTTCAAAATATGCAAAACACCACTCTGAAAGAATATGAAATTCCAACGCTTTCGTGATATCAATTATCAAGGAACTATGATAGTTCCTTGATAATGTGAGTGTCACGAAAGGCTTGGAATTTCTCTATTCTTTCAGAGTGGTTGTTTTGCATAAATATATATATATAATTATATATATATATTGTATATATAATAGATATTATATTACATATATATATAATATTATATATATATATATAATATGCGGTTGCTGTTACTTTAAAACTAATCTGTGCTGCTGCTGCTGCTGCTGCTACTATATATTACTACTACTCGTTGTCGGTGATGATGATCCTACTACTATTTCTATACTACTATATACTACTATATACTACTAAATTTTATTATTTTTAGATTTTAATTTATTATTATCATCATTATCATAACCGTTTTTACAATTTTGTTTTTGTTAGTAGCAGTAATTAAGGGTTTATGTGATTCATTAGGGCAATGTTCATTTATGTGGGGGTTTCTGCAGTCTTGTTAGGACTGAGATAAATAATTTAATTTTTTTAAAAAATCTTCCCCCACATCCTGCAGTATCAAAATCTAGGTGAAGTAGAGCTTGTCATACAAAATGTGAAAAAGACTTGGAGCAGGGTAAGCAGAAATCAAAGCCAAGACAGCGTGCCTCAGTGTGCGCAACAGGCCCAAAAGATTTTTTTGGGAATTTATCTCAAAAAGTATAAGTAACGAAGTCCAAAAGTTATTTTGCAGCTCTTAATCACAGTGGGGCCTCATTTGATTATGTGCTCAGTTTTGGTCCTTACTCAGGAGGACTAGCTCAAGGAACATAAAGAAGAATGACTAAAATGATTTACTGTGTAAGGAACCTCCCGTATGAGATAACTTAAAACCCTTTAAAACTCCACTCCGGAGAGGCCCCTAGATGAGGGAATTCATTGAAGTGTATAAGTGGATGACGGGCAAAACGGGAGACATTAATAAAGTATGAGGGTGTCGAACCAGGGAAGAACCGGAAAAAGGATTTAAGTTTTATAAATTTTGATTTAGAAAGGACATAGGTAAATACTGGTTTTTAACAGATTTTTAGAGCGTGGAAAAGTCTCCCAGTGGGGGGATAGGATAGGACCTTGGGGGCTTTAAGAAGAGACTGGACAAATTATGAGTTTGGGGGGGGCTGGGTTTGATTGGGGTCAAGGGGGTAGGGGTTATTTCTTGGGTAGCTTTAGGTAGTGTCGTTTTTTATAAGGACCCTCGATGGGCCGTGGCCTTTGCAGTGTTTCCCACTTCTTTGTTCTTTGTTCTTAAATTCCCGTTCGTTATATTTTTAACAGTTATACAGTACCGGGAGGAGTGACTTTAAAATTTCGCTTAACCGTATCGTACGACCCCCAACCGTTATCCGCTCGAAATTTATTCCTGATAAGGATTTAGTACGGTGCTGGCCCTAGATGCCGGGTTAAAGGACCCGGTGTAACTGTAAGAATACTTCCCAGTAAGAGTGAACCCCTTTCCTTCCTTTACCTTGGCAAAGGGTTCTTCTGCACCACAACCTGAGTGAAAAGGGTTTGATTGGAAAAAAAAGTTTTTGAAAAGTTATATTGGGAAAAAAATCAGACGGGATCGTTTTCATGGAGAAAGAAATTTAAAAAATATTTTAGTACATTCTGCTGAGTAGTTTTTGCAAGTGTTTGATAGCGCTATCAGGAATAAGGGCTCTATATTTTACAGTGCTCGTTAATGAATCAGTAAGGCATTTCTGATCATTCACATCAACACTGTAAGTCAGTTGTGTACGACTATGGTGCTCTTCGCACCTACTCCTAGGTTGAGGGACTGATTACCTCATCTTCTGTACATAGTTCTACTGTCTTCAAGTTATGTCCTAGAATTTGTATTGATAAAGCCACTGGATGGCGAAACGTCTACAATAAAGATACCCAGATGTTGCACATGTGTCTTAATCTCACTGTAAGTCAGTACTTGTCTTCTTAATGCCAACTCAGTGTCACGTAGTTATACATCTACTGTAACTGTGTGATGCTGATGGGTAGAGTGGTATACCCCATTCTATGAATTTTATTAATTCACGAATAACACTACACACACACACACACATGTATTAAAATGCACCAACGTGGTTAGTCCGCTTACCTTTATTACCTCACCTCCCCCCCCATCAGCTTTTTTTCCATATTTCCAACCTTACTCATCCTTCTTCCTTTCCCATCTTATCAAAACTCTATTCATAACCGGACATTCGACTGCTGACCAATGCAGAATGTTTTGGAGCCAGAGTTACTGTTTCGAAGATGTTGCTAATATCCTGGTCTTTGTGAAAAAAATGTATGCATGTTTGTAATGGTTCCAAATGGGATATGCTGCCATTTCTATGCAAAGAAATTCAAAAATAAGTCGAAACTCAAAATTTGATTTACAGAATCACTCTGGTTCAAGTCTGCTTTAAATGACTTCTCAATTAATAATGCTCACTAAAACACATCCAAATTAGTTTTCTCCAAGTAACGAAGCTGCTTTGTGTAAATTTAATATAAAAAAAATCCGAAAAATAAAGAAAAAGATCACCTTCCAAAACTTATAAAATAAAAAAAAGCAAAAAGAATTTGCAATTGTGATACTTTTTCCACTGACACAAAATATACTAAATTCCATAACGTATTTTTATAATTTAGGTCATAATTGCAATACAAAAATTGAAACAGTGAAAGGACTGGACTGCCATAACAAGTTGCGCGGACGCAAATGGTGCCAGGGAGACATTCTGTGCACTGTTCACTGTCATCCTTCACAATATTGTACCAATTAAAGAGTTTAGGGTTAAACGGAGAACTAAACCCTGGATAACCGCTGAGATATTAAAGATAAAAATAAAGATAAAGATTTTATTTCTTTGTAAAAGTTACAATGTGTAATTACAAGTTTTATTTGTTAAGTACAAAGAAAGCCACTATCACGCCGGGGAATTTCGGGCAGAAATTCTTGGATCAGTTGCTAAAAATATTTAAGGCAAACAGGATATTGCAGCACATTAAGTCAAAGTAGGTATACTGTCTTGTCGACACAGCAAGTGGAAGGTGGCCCAGCAAATGTAAGACATAGATATAGCCTCACAAATCTGCGACAGACTTTCGGAAGGGGCTTTTATCGTTACCATGACAGAGAGGTCTTTCCATAGTTTAACTGATATGCATCAAAACTTTGAAGTCCTTGAGATCCTTTCATTGTAGGAAGAGAGTGTCAATCGTGTAGTGATTAAAATCACGAAGTGTGAAGCCGGGAATCATATTTAACAATCTCGTGTGATAGGCTAACTGGCACTAGATACATATTGTCAACCTTCCTAGCTGGAGTTTCTGTAAATATCTTTCACAATGATCAACTTGAAGATGAATAACTTCACCTAATAGTCTTAAACATGATTTATGAAAAGTTTTGAATTATGATTTATCACGATAAATTTGCAGTTATCGTTACTGTTACATCAGCTAGGTTATTATTGTTACACTGTAATTATGTTATACCGTGAGGAAATTTATCATGAAAGTTCCCTTTCTGCGCTGAAATCTTTATATTTAAAAAAAAAAATTAGCTTTTGTGTATTTTTGATAATGCTCACCTCCATTTTCTTATATATCATTTTCACTACAGGATCTGCATGCGTGGAAAAATATATTCCAGGCGATCCTTTCATCATCCAAGACTCGATACCCCACCTCCAGTTGTTCAGAGACACCAGGTCCTCCAAGGTTTCCGGAGGTTTACTCTTACTCTGGACTGTGAGATGTGCGATTAATGATGAGCTGTATCCTGTCGTTATGACCAGGCAGAACACCAGCCACACACCTACCAACACCTGCAACGACAAGTAAAAATAACTAAGCAGCAACTCCTTTGGAACACAGGTGCTAGATCCTGGTCCTAGGGGTAAGGGGTAAAGGGGAAGGGGTAGAGATGTCGATCCTGTTTTCTTACGCTAGTTTTCATTCGTTAACAGTAATTAGGTACTTGAAAATTTACTGACTGTTTTGGGTCTAATTCTACGGAGGACGAAGAGAAATATACTTTATACAGAGCTGGACTTTGAGATTAGCTGAAGCAGAATAATGGCTCCTACTAGGCTCTTAATTCAATAGTATTTACAAGAATCACCATATCCCCGCTAATTACACAAAGTGTGATGAATCTGTCTACTAACCTATATTTTAGTAGCATAAAATTTCAGGAAACATGATATAGAATTGCAAGAATAGTGAGAAAACATCGAAGTATGTTAAATATTTGTCAGTGAATTACGGAAACCTATACGTAGGCAGAAATATATCTTAAAGAAAAAAAACTGTATATTTTATTCTCTGGTGCTCAGGAGAGTTGGAATTATCTGCTTTACCAACAGATCTGAGTTGAAAACAGCTGTAGTAACAGGCAGCGACAGGTGTTCATTTCTTGGCTACCTGCCAAGACACGAGTTTCTCAATGCTTGTATATAAATAACGCAATGTGTGGTTTATGGCATTTTATTAATGAAAACTTTTCATCTATTGGGACTTGGTCTATTCCACCAGAGAATAACAGGACATAGGTAAATGTAGAGGCTGGGGGAGAGGTCTTAGGGTGAAAAAATGGAAATTAGTAATGGGGTCCCTCCTGTTAATTTCAACGCGTAGTTGTGTTACACTGGAAGAAATACTACACAAACCTTGAATAGAGTAACATCAACGGAGTCTATATATGAATTCAATGTCTATTTTTGTTTGCTACCATAGTGGCAATATTCATAGTAAGAAGGTAAGGTAGATTCAAATTAAAACAAGAAGAGGCATGATCAGTTGAAAAGATATAGAGTTTATTTTATGAAGTATCACAAAAGAAAGGCTTACTCTTCCTGAATTACTGATAGACGGGTCCTTAGGAGGATGGTTGAGTATCGCGCCCCAGTTGTACAAGATGACAGAACTGAGGTTCACTCCATGTACTCCTGTCAACCAAATCCACTTCTTGTGCAGCAGCCACTGGATCAAACTCAACATCACAGAACTCACCAGCAGCATCAGCCACAGACTTGCTGAATGCAATCATTAATTATTATCAACATACCACGGAACGGGTCGAGTTTAAACCCATGGCAAGTGAGTCCTAATACCCCAGGTTTGTTTACAATCGTGTTATTATGATTTCGTGAGATATTAATTATTATACTATTAGATTTCCATTTTTGGAAATTTTCTCTTTAATTGAGCAATAAAAACACCAAAACAATTCATGTAAATATATAATACATTCCTAGTACATCGTCAGTACTAACTATACAAATATCTTTCGGAAAAATATGAAGGAATTAAGGACAAGTAGAAAATATCAGTAGAGTATGACACATAAGTAAATGTTTAGAGCAGCGGCTCCTAAACTTCTCGAGTACGAGGACCTTCTTTTAGCCTCAAAAAATGTATCAGATAACAATATGCTAATATTTGTTCTTTTAGGCTCTGTTAAGTGAAAAGATGTGAGGAGTAACACATGGTGAGGTGCTGGCTCCCGGGGTCTTTCTCACAGGGGTTGGTATTACTATTCAAAGTAAAACTTCTAAATGGTCTGAAGTTCTTTGAAACTTTAATTTTCTTGCTTTTATTTTATGTGAATGGTTTTGGAAAATATAAAATAACATAGTCACCAATAATAGTTGAATATCAAAGAATTTATGACCTACCAGTAAAAGGACTTATTACTGAGAGGTATTTAGGCAGAGGTGAAGGATTACGAGACACTAAACAGACTATCTCAGCTCCGTATGCACTGGCTTCTTCCATGACCTTCATTCGTTCTACTGCTGGTCCAACAGGTCCACCAAAGTCGATCTCGTCTCGTTGAAGCATCCCCAGAAATCCATTATATTTGCCATCTATTTTATAGCCCCAGTTACGATCAGGGGCCTCGAGAATCTCCATACTGATGGTCAAGATAGAGTGATATGTGTAAATCATACCAGAGTGACAGGGATACAGTGCAACAAACTGAAAAGTTATTGTGATGATTCCATCAAAGAAATCTGGTACCAAGTGTGAGTCGGTTGTTGTAATATTTTCCAAGTTATGATTGTTTATTTAAAACGATCAAAATGCAGACCGGGAAATGTAAGACACAATGCGGGTTATGGTGTATTTTATTTGTAAAAATGTTCCTGCACCGGAGACTTCTTGCATTCAAAGAATCCTGATGATTCCATTTCGATTCTCGTAATTACACTAAAATAATTAAATAAATAATAAAACAATTGTGTATGTATATATATATATATATATATATATATATATATATATATATATATATATATATATATATATATATATATATATATATATATATATATATATATATATATATATATATACACTTCTGGAAGGATGGTAAGCAGATTGTGCCCCCACTTTGGCGACACTATCTTCGAAGATTGATTACGTGTGTGTTTGGTAGCGGGGATCAGTGATAAGGCTTAGGAGGCTTCTTATTTTATTTGGGTTCGTGGTACATAGGCAGTGTGTTTAGGTGCCCTGGGGCGGCACAGAGGGCCTTGCCAGCGAGGGAGAGAGGAGTGGAGCTGTTGAATCTAGGATGCCTTGTCGCCAAGTGAGAGCGAGGTAGGTCTGGGTAGGTCTACATAGTGGCCTGCCCGTTGGTGGAAAATTTGGAAACTAGCCATGTAGGCTTATTGTCTACATTTTGCTCGGCCACCTACCCATGGTCATCCTCGACCATGATTGACTGAGAAAAAAAACCTTCGTCTCTCTCTTGCAGGACAAGGGCACAGGACACAAATAAAAACATATGTATACAAGCGGATGTGGACAAAAAAAAAATCCTACAGGGAGAGAAGAAAAAAAAAGGTGGGTAGTGCTAAACATTGTGGTCCAAGTCAGTGAGTGTCGGTAGGCGTCACTGCACGCCTTTCTGTGTCTGGACAGATACTGCAACACAGGAGACATTACTGCGGCTGAGCTATGATGTAACAGGGTACGGTCTTCATTGGAACAGTGAAGCAGTCATCATAGTAGTCACTGCAGGGTTCACTCATCCTGGGGCACAACCTGCTGGTGTTCTCGAGTAAGGCATCATCAGTATTCAGCAATTGGGCAGGACTTCTGTTAAGCGACTCAGGAGGACATTTCTCCACTGGTACTGTCGCTGGAGTTGTCAAAGCTGGCAAGAGTGGAGTGAGTCGTGGCAGGGATGACTCAGACGAAACATCTGGGAGTCATAGCAGCATACACCGTAACTGGAGTGAGCAGGCTAGCAGTCAAAGTGACATCATACTTTGTGCAGGCTACTCACTGAAGCTGTGAGTCGAGTCAGACAGTCGCCTGCCAACTGTGGCTTGATGATGTCATTCTCTCGACAGAGATTGAGTCATAGCAGAGGTTAGTCTAAGCATCCTCAGACTAGTTTTCTACACATAACTGCACTCTGATGGTCAGGAGGTGGAGTCAACAGGGAGTTGTGTACGAATGGTATATAATACCGACAAGATGAGATTAAGACACATGTGCAACATCTGGGTATCTTTATTGTAGACGTTTCGCCATCCAGTGGCTTTATCAATACAAATTCTAGGACATAACTTGAAGACAGTAGAACTATGTACAGAAGATGAGGTAATCAGTCCCTCAACCTAGGAGTAGGTGCGAAGAGCACCATAGTCGTGGAGATTCTGAAGCAGAAGAAAGGATCCTGGCGCTTATATAGTAACGTCAGGTGTAGCAGACGAGGGCATATTCACTGGTAGGCGGGATTCCCCAGTGGAAGTAGGTCCTTCCCAAAGAGATGGGTTAGTTGTAGTAGTAGTTGTCGTAGTCGTGAAGGTTATGTACATGTCCTCAGAATTAATTCTGAGGACGGCAAGCATAAGAGTTTTCTTTACATGGGGGCTCAGATGCTCGTAAACTGATGCCTGGACTGACTAGTGTTTGTTGAATGGTCACAATGGTTGACATGTAACACAAGGGTGTTACCAATGGTCTGGGCTCAGACCACATCGTGGTCTATACACACATCTGGGCTCAGACCACACATCGGGAGACACGGAAAACTTACACACACGTACACTGCACATGAAGTTACAACATGATTTGCACTAGCAAAAGATGCTTTCCTATGCAAAAATCAACATTAAAGCAATCACGAACGTATGAGAACACTGACTGAGAGGAATTAACGTGTGACATAGTATCTTCTCTCAATCGTTCTCGACAAAACGTTCTCGACAAAACTCGACACTATACTTCCCATCTCCAGGACTCAAGTCCGGCCTGCCGGTTTTCCTGAATCCCTCCAACAGCACGCCAAGTATTAAAAACCATTTGTCTCCATTCACCAATATTAAATACGCTCATGCATGCTTGCTGGAAGTCCAAGCCCCTCGCACACTAAATCTCCTTTACCCCCTTCCTCCAACCTTTCCTAGGCCGACCCCTACCCCGCCTTTCCTCCACTTCAGATTTATACACTCGAAGTCACTCTGTTTTGTTCCATTCTCTCTACATGCCCGAACCACCTCAACAACCCTTCCTCAGCCCTCTGGATAATAGTTTTAGTAATCCCGCACCTCCTCCTAATTTCCAAACTACGAATTCTCTGCATCATATTCACACCACATATTGCCCTCAAACATGACATCTCCATTTCCTCCAGCCTTCTCGTTCCAACATTCATCACCCATGCTTCACACCCATATAAGAGTGTTGGTATAACTATACTCGCATACATTCTCCTCTTAGCTTCCACGGACAAAGTTTTTTGTCACCACAGACTCCTAAGTGCACCACTCACTCTTTTTCCCTCATCAATTCTATGATTCACCTCATCCTTAATAGATCCATCTGCTGACACGTCCATTCCTAAATATCTGAATACATTCATCTCCTCTATACTCTCTCCCTCTAATCTGATATCCAGTCTTTCATCACCTAAACCTTTCGTTATCCTCATCACCTTACTCTTTCCTATATTCACTTTCAATTTTCTTCTTTTACATACCCCACCAAATTCATCCACCAACCTCTGCAACTTCTTTTCAGAATCTCCCAAAAGCACAGTGTCATCAGCAAAGAGCAACTGTGACAACTCCCACTTTGTGTTTGATTCTTTATCTTTTAACTCCATACCTCTTGCCAAAACCCTCACATTCACTTCTCTTACAACCCCATCTATAAATATATTGAACATATATCTATATCTATCTCTCTCTCTCTCTTTATATATATATATATATATATATATATTATATATATATATATATATATATATATAATATATATATATAATATATATATATATATATATATATATATATATATATATATTGTGCCCTCATGTATTGCATCCAGGGGGGCTTGTAGCAGCGATTCTCCCTGAACATCTTAGGGACAAGATTGGAGTCCAGGGCCAAAAGTTCATTGACGGAGCCATGATTTGGGATAATCTAACGGGCTCTGGAGCCAGACCTGCTCCCCACCAACAACTACAAACAATCGCACTGGGATGGTCCAATAGTGGAAAATATAGCCTAAACAATGCTTCAGAGTGTGTCAGGGAAGGATAGAGCCAGCCTCCTGGCAGTGAGAGTCCCTCATGCAGGGGATTTTCTGTTGGCTATTCCCAACTCCAGCCTTGGCACTCGCCTCGACCCACAGACCATCCGCATCGGTGTTGCCCTTCGACTTGCCGCCCCTATTCTCGCCAAACACAGGTGTATTTGTGGCAGTGAAGCAGCAGACCGATTCGGGTACCATGGTCTTGTGTGCTGTAAATCCGAGGGAAAGATTGCAAGACATGAGGAGGTTAATAACATTATCAAGAGGAGCCTTACAACAGCCGGATGCCCAGCAGTAAGGGAGCCACCCCAGCTATGCAGATCTGATGGCAGCCAGAAGCATCCAGATGGTATCACCCGTCAAGCCTGGACAGATGGGAAGCAGGTGGTGTGGGACTATACATGTGCATCTACCTTGGCTGATACCTATCTCCAATACACCAGGGAGGAAGAGGGGGCAGCTGCCAGCTTCAGGAGTCCAAAAGTCTAGAAAATATGGAGAACTTGCCCATCATTATATGTTTGTTCCCATAGGCTCAGAGACCCTTGGCTCATGGGGAAAGTATGCATCTAAATTCCTTAAGGAGCTGGGAAAAAAGACTCATCAGGGTAACTAGGGATCCCAGGGCAGCTAGCTTTCTATTCCAGCGGCTCAGTGCGGCTGTTTCAAAGGGGTAATGCCGACTGCTGATGGCCCGAGTCATGTTTTCACTGCTCAGTTCAGGCGCGTTCATTTTCGTTTCAATCTTTGTGCAGTGGCTATAACGTCAGTTTTCCGCGACATTTTTTTCAGTTTTTTTTTTTTTCTTTTAGCCAGCCGAGCGGGCTACCGGGCATTACCCAAATGCCCCTATGGCCAGTCCGCCTCAGCCTGAGCCTCGATATTCACATAAAAACTCTTAACTGTATGAAAACAATCCACCACATCTTTAAATTTTTTACACCATCCACCACATTGCTTCCCTACCCACCCCACCCATTTGTCTTTTCTAAATCCACAAATGCAACAAAAATTCCCTTAATTGTTCAGTTATGTACTCTTATGTTAATAAACATCGGGGCTACATATTCACTACCCTCGTAAAAACTGTTTGCTCTTCTGTAGTCCTACTCTTTGTCGTTTTCTTAATTCTTTCAATAAAAAACTCTACCATACATTTTGCCAATATACCCTTTGTTCTTTACAAAGAAGGAAGTACGTTTTCTGTCAGTATCTAAAAAAATAATAATAATAATCTTTATTTACAATAAGTACATGTACATGGTATACAGCCTAGCTGACATCAGTAATATACACTATATAGAAAGCCGCTTGTTATGCAGAGCTTTCGGGCAAATTAGGGCAGTGTCCCTGGATGCGACTCACACCAGTCGACTAAACCCCAGGACCCATTTTACTTAAAGGGTGAACATAGACAACGGGTGGGAAAGAAACACGCCCAATGTTTTCTACTCTGACTGGGAATCGAACCCAGACCCTCGCCGTGTTTAAGCAAGATCTTTAGCCACCAGGCGACCTGAGCCGCAGTCTTCAGACTGCCATGCCCCATTTTTGAACAAATGGACTAATATTATATCCCCACTTACTGTATACAAAATAGTTCTACACAATAATGCAAGTGTTATTCTCATTTATAAAGGTTGTTGAAAAGGTAATTTATTAGCATTTGCAAAAAGGAGGCCTCATTTAGATTATGCTGCTCAGTTTTGGTCCCCTTACTACAGGATGGACATAGACTCATTAGAGAACATACAGAGAAGAATGACTAAAAAAGATTTACTGTGTAAGGAACCTCCCGTATGAAAAATAGACTTAAAGCCTTAAATCTCCACTCTCTGGAGAGACGTAGAATGAGGGGAGATATCATTGAAGTGTATAAGTGGATGACGGCCTAAACAAGGGAGACATTTTAAAAAAGTACTGAGGGTGTCGACCAGGTAAGAACCAGGAATAATGGATTTAAGTTGGATTTAAATTTAGATTTAGAAAGGACATAGGTAAGTACTGGTTTTCTAACAGAGTTGTAGATGCGTGGAACAGTCTTCCCAGTGGGGTGATAGAGGCTAGGACCTTGGTAGCTTTAAGAAGAGACTGGACAAATATATGAGTGGGAGGGGCTGGGTTTGATTGGTGTCAAGGGGTACGGGAGTTATTTCTTGATTAACTTTAGGTAGATGTCGTTTTGATAAGGACCTGCCTCGTATGGGCCAGTAGGCCTTCTGCAGTGTTCCTACATTCTTATGTTCTTATGTTAAGACTCATTTATTTATGTTTAGAAATATAAACTAACAACTCCATCTCATTTTCATTTTCGTCTCATATAGTGCAAATATTTCTGCCAAGGTTTCCACCGCATATTAAGAAACAGTAGACATAAGTTTTTACCTGAAATTGTATGCTGAAGAGAAAGTGGAAAGTAATCTGGTATTCAGACAGTCTTTGAGAGTGAGGAGAGTGTCCTCAGCAGTTTGTGTTGTGTAGTCGGAGTATGGGAAGAATCTTATAGTTCCAAATCTCATCTTATGACCCATAAAGTTGTGAAACTGATCTGAGGATATATTATAATATGAAGCTTTTATAGTAAATAGTGAAAAAATAAGATATCAAACTTTCAATGAAAAATAACAAATCACGGATCAATGAATTTAGCTGTGATGATAATATTTATATATATATATATATATATATATATATATATATATATATATATATATATATATATATATATATATATATATATTATATATATGCAATAAGATCACAGTAAACAGGTGATTTCAAAATATGCAAAACAACCACTCTGAAAGAATAGAGAAATTCCAAGCGCTTTCGTGACTACTCACATTATCAAGGAACTATGAAAGTGAAGTATCCAAGGAAGCTATATAAGGGGTCTGGCCGGCACCTCACTATCAGATCCCACAACGGTTAAACACGTGACGCGCGGCGAGCCAACTTGGATAGGTCCTTTGCACAACTCACCCCAAGCTATTCTACCCAAGAAAATTTAAAAATTATTTGTCCAGTGTATTATTAAATTCTTCCCAAATTCTATTAATTATAAATGGATCTAATTTATATAAACCAAAGGAAATATTCATATTATTGTCAAAACTGCTTTCATAGTTCCTTGATAATGTGAGTAGTCACGAAAGCGCTTGGAATTTCTCTATTCTTTCAGAGTGTTGTTTTGCATATATATTATATATATTATATTTATATATATATTATATATATATATATATATATATATATATATATATATATATATATATATATATATTATATAAAATTATAATATTATATATATATATATTTATATATATGTCGTGCCAAAATAGGCAGAAGTTGCGATCTTGGCTTAAATAGAACTTTCATCTTGCCATATAGGACAAGCGAAAATTTTGTGTATACAATAATTTCGCCAAACCCATTCTGAACCTAACGAAAAAAAATTATTTCACGTGTTCGTTTAGTATTAAATTATTGCAAAAAAGAAATCTAAAATATATTTAGCTGGGTTAGGCTAAAATAAATTGTTTAGTTATAATAAGGTTAGGTAAGTTTTCTAAGTTCTTTTGGTGCAAAATTAAATTTTTTTACACTAACATTAATGAAAAAAATTTATATCTTTAAACGTATAAGAGAAAAATTTTAGAAAGGACTTAATTTTAATGAGTTCTTGCTAATTGACCAGTTTTACATATCGGCCGACAAATATATTATATATATATATAAAATTTTTATATTATATATAAATATATTATTAAATTTTTATATATAAAATATAAAATTTTATTATATATATATATATTTTTATATATATATATATATATATATCTTTTCTTTCAACACCTGGCGTATCCACCAAGGCGGGGTGGCCAAAAGGGAAAAAAAAAAAACGAAAGTTTCTCCTTTTACATTTAGTAATACATACAGGGAGAAGGGTTACTAGCCCCTTGCTCCTGGCATTTTAGTTGCTTTTTACAACACGCATGGGCTTACGGGAGGAAGAATTCTGTTCCACTTTCCCCATGGAGTATATATATATAAAATTATATTATATTATAATATATATATATTTATATATAAAATATATATATATTATATAATATATATTATATATATATATATATATTTTAATATATATATATAAGAGGAGAGAGAGATATTATATATTGATATATACATCCCTGAAACTATATTAGTAAATTTTAACAAATGATTAGCAACTTTTGCAGTACGTTGATCTCTATGCATAACGAAAATAACAGGGAATTTGTTTCTCACGATTAAATACGATCTGAGTCTCACCGGAAAACAGGTTGTGAGTGAGTTGGTGGAGCGAGTTGATGTATCCTTCCTGCATAAATTGAACATCAGCTTCACCGTCGTTGTACAGAACATGCACCGTCTGTACACCACTACACTTTTCCCTCACCCCTCCTGGCCAATAAAGTTAGTGGCACCCACGTATACAAATAGTCTGATAAATCTTTTTCAAGATATAGTTCACCAGCGTTGAAAATTTGAAGCCTATCGAATAAGGCATTATGAGTTTTTTAACGTAAATTATGTAGAAAACGAGGAATAAATATTGCAAAGAATGTTCCGAAATGGAAAGTCTAAGGTTGTTAAATTTTTAAAATGCTATTTTTTCAGCTTCCTTTCCCCCATTTAATTTTATTTCACATTCTCTAAAATCCTGAAAAAAATTGACTTATATTACAAAAACAAAAATCCATTTTGATAAAAGTGATTTAAATTGTCAAACTGGCACCAGCAAAACCCAAAACAATAAACAAAATAGATACACCAGCGTTTAGTGTTTGAAGTCAATCAGAAGAAGCATTCTCTAGTTGTTATATGAGAACAATTTAATTAAACCGCAAATTTCAACTTAATCACTTCGGGGTGAACGCCAAACTTCCTTCTAATAAAACCAACCTTTGGATTGAAGGTTTGTAGCGATTAGAAAAAAAAAACTTCCCACTAATGATCTAATTCAAATGACTCTGTTTTATTTTTTTTTAATAAATTTCAGTAAAATTTTAAATTTAGACCTACTCAGTCTCTACCTAGAGGATGTTACGTATAAAACATCGTCATTATTATCTTGAAGTTCGATCACAAATTTTTATTCTTTTAATACTAAAGTAAGTGACTTTCACTATTTATTTAGTAAATTATCAAACGGGGGATTTATGAATCCCAATACCAACCTTGTGTTCAGTAAGCAAACGCAATACTGAAATTGAAGCCGTTTCGTATGTGTCATTCTCCAGTTATGGTAGGATTCTAATGATTCCAAATTTTGATAATTATTGGATACTAAGTTTAAATTAATGGATACTATCCTGCTCTGAGATGCATCATTATCCGTTCAGAAGATGTTAAAGTTAATTTTATGTGATATAACGGGATTAACAAGTCATATTTTTTTGGAATTATAATGAGTAATTCTGCAGCACCTAGACACTTGAATGTCTCTCTCTAACTGTCACTAAATTAGGGGGCATTTTTTTTTTTTTTTGAATATTTGAGGCTACGCATTTGAGGGTTTTTGGGAAAGGGTTATAGGAGCCATCACAGAATGCTGGGGATGGGTTCAATAATTAAGTAAAAGGACACAAGTGCAACTAATGCGACATTTATTTGGCAACGTTTCGCTCTCCAGGAGCTTTTTTCAAGCCTTTAAAATGATTTCAAGCCATTACAATGGCTTGTAAAGCCCCTGGAGAGCGAAACTTTTGCCACAATAAATGTCACATTAGTTGCACTTGTGTCCTTTTACTTTAAATTTTGGTCATAGGGCAACTGAACCTGCCAGCTGTTCCTAGAACCTTCGCCTAGACACTCTACAACACCGTTGAAATATTGAAGCCGGCAGAATGGGACTTTCTCGAGTTTCAGCAGAATAAAAACCGAAAGTTGGATTATGAAAAGAGAAGGTGAAAAAGAAAAAAATGACTGTCACTTAAATATCCCCAGTAGGGATACTTAATGCACATAGCACGGAGGATTAAGGCAGCTATAACAAATAGAAAAATAGAGAAACAGTGACATAAACCCAGTTATTTATACACATTATGCCAATGAAGAGGGGATAATTGAGAAGGAAAATCTAAAACAAGGGGAGAATATAGGAGAGATTATTTAAATAAGGTTTAATTCGAAGGAAAGTACTCAAGCGTAGAGACTAGACGAACAGTGAAAACAGGAAGGGAAATAACAATATTGGTAAGACAAACAATACGTGCAAAAGAAATTGGAGTAAAGATTAATAAAAGTTCAAAAACAGTTAATTTTCCCAAACCACCAATTAACACCACGAAAAGGAAAAGAGATTGATTATTAATGAAAAGTGACTAAAAGTAATTAGGTACTCTGAAATTTTATCTTTAAATCAGTATACTTGGAGGCTCGTGAAGCTGTATCTGCAAGTAAATGATCAATAAGATAAATAAATATAAGGGGTGGTTTTCTTATGCATGAGCTTATAACTAAAAGAGATGAAAAACACGGTCTGTATTAGATGCATTACAGTAGTATGCAAATTAATTGGAACACGCGTTAATTTTTTTATTATCTTGTGTCTTTACTCTCCGACTTAATTAATGTAGTTTGGGTTCATTTCTTTTCAGAGGAGTTTGCTATTAACTTCTTCCAACCATCGAACTATGGTGTTACCGTGTGACTCTCATCAGTACTACAACAGATGTTGTTCTGTAAGGCAATTCCTGTAAGTGCTCCATGAGTGAGTGGGGTTTTTCGACAAATTACCCCCTTCAGTTCATGATTACCACTCAAATTCATGATGGATGTTACTCTTGGAAAACATGACGATTTGAGTAAACGGGACAGATTGCTTAAAATTTTTAGCCTCCCAAAGTCAACTGTTGGTCGGATTCTGAAGAGAGCTGACGACACTGGTGATTGTGGAGCGCTGCTCGAGGAAGATGTACAGAACGAAAGACAAGGATATCATAAGAATAGTGCGAATGATCCACGAATACCAGAAAAAATCTACAGAAAGATTTGGCTTTAGTTGGCGTAAATGTTGATTCTTCAACTGTTCAAACGACGACCCTTTTTAAAAGTTGGCAAAACTGCCAGAAAGCCTGTAAAGAAACAATTATTGACTGTTGCTATGAAAAAAAAGGGGTGCGGTGGATGGTCAGTTTTGGGCCCCGCATTTTTGAAGTACATAAGTATAGATCAGGGGTTTGTTTGACTAAGCAAAGGCGAACCTCCTTGGAATAGTCACATTCAAAAAGCTCCGAAAGACTCACCTAAATATTTTAGGGCAGTTCTCCCGGTAGTGGCTCTGACGGCATGTTATTGTTGAGGGAACTATAAACACTGACAAATACAAGGAAATCTGGCAACTCATTTGTTTCCCACTGTGGATAGAAACTTTTCTGATGGAGAAGGCATTTTCCAGCAGGATCTTGCTCTATGCTTCACTTTCAGAAAAATGCTAACGTTCTTCGAAATTTCCGGGATCTCAACCCAACTGAGACTTTATAGGCAGTGACCTAATGCAGGTTCGTGAACAGGACTGTTCAACAGTTGCAGAAGCTAATTTTTTGTTGTTAGTACCGGGTTTACCACGTCGAAGAACCTGCCAAAATGTATTCAACTTTGGGTTTTGATTCTATGGCAAAGCTATTAGCAATGTTTATATTATCTAAGAGTGGTCATATCTCTCATTTAAATCAAATATCTGCCATATCATTGTATGTATTTTCTAAATATACATTAATTTTTCCAAATAATTGTCTTATTTCATCACTGTCCTAATTAATACTCACACTACTGTATATCCTATACTACTGAAGAAATTTTTAAAAGAAGTATTTAAATCCGCTTAGAAAGAATAGTTGTTATTCTGGAAAAAATATGTTATTACATATGTTTTTTAAAATAAAAATAGACGTGCTGGGGTGACTATATTTAAAGAAATCAAAATAAAGTTTTAGAATAACACCTATAATCTTTCCACAGTCACTCACTTAAATCAATTTCTTCCTCATTCTGATGTTCTGTCCTGAACAACAACTGAACCTCTTGACTATGTCTGCATGTTTCTGGCATTGAGGTGCTGCCACTTTAGTTGGTTAATTAGGTATTCACATTAACTAGTAAGTGCGCAGGTGTTCCTAATGAAGTGGCCACTGAGCGAATGTTTATCATTAAAAAAGGATTCCTTATTCAAGCACATTCCTTATCTCCAGACTTCAGAATGTATATAAATGCACTGAGGAACATACAGAGAAGGATGATAAAGTTATTATAAAGAGTAAAAAAATCTTTTCAATGAGGGTAGAATGAAATTTTTATTATTATAAATATTCGCCGGTATTTTCCCGGCCCGGGCCTTTTCCAAGTGGTGGCCCGGGCCCTTTGGGTCCCTCTTTAGGGAGTGTCTGAGACCTAAGTCTCCCATGGGGAGGAGGCACAAGTACCCCCCTCATCTTTGGGACCAACTGTCCCCGGCCTAGCCACAAGCTAGGGCCCCTCTGGTCTGCCATTCCCCGCCACAAGGGGGCAAATGAGAATGACAGTCTTATGAGCTAAAGGCTCGGGGGTCAGGCACCCTACCCTGCCCTAGAAGGGTTAGGCATGGTGTCGATCTAGAAAGAAGGAAGATGTGACTGAGGTATACAAGATGAAAATATATGAAGACTTTAAACATATTGATATTATGTTATTAGATGATGCAGCGGCGGTGTTTGAAAAGTTTTAATGAGTCTGATCCCCTATGGTTTACTTGCCTAGACAGAGACAATATCAATAATTGATTAAACCACTACTATAATCTATAATACCCAGAAACTCACCTTGGGGAAGCTGGTGTTCTTTAAGTTCCGAAAACATATACAGGACTCATTAAATTCCAAAGTGAAAAAAAAATAATAATATTGCGAATACTTGTGTACAGTAACGTTCGCTTACCTTCTGGAGTGAGGATGTTGTAAGCGTGTGCGGTAGTGTCGAGGTGCTACGTTTTGGTGGAGGGTGAGGTCGTGGAGGGCCAGGTAGAGAGCGTTGACAGTGTTACGGAGACTGTGGTGGAGAAACACCTCCTTCCTGACACCCTCCCACCCACCACCACAGCCACCGTCTCTGATAAATTCCACAGTTCGATGCTTCCAGTAAGCTGACGAGGGAATTACGGTATCTTTGAGGGTGAAGGATAAGTACGAAGTGATCAAGACAAAGAGGAAACGTATCGCCCGGACGGCGTCTCCAGTCACTACTCGCCACGGACAGCGTCTCCACTCACTACTCACCCCGGACGGCGTCTCCACTCACTACCACAACAACTGAAACCCACTCATAGTGTTACGTTTCCTTATTCCATATATTTGCAACATCTGCCACATTG